AAAAAAATTGGAAAAACAACGACACAACCTTATCCAAGCCCGACACCTCGCTTCGTGAAAAAAGTCCTGTAAATTTTGATATTAAATGAAGTGTTCCTACGTTGTAGGTTACTTATTCTCTTGTACGCTGAAATAAGTTTGCAGCTAAAGTTGGCTGAATTACTGTTGATATGCAAACTCAAAGTGAATATACTTTCTTCCCTTGAACGATCGGTCATCGGTCATTTTGACCGCTCTCACCCCTACCCACTGCGCTGAAGAGTGTTTTGGTTGCGGAACAGGAGGGTCAAACATCTTCATCCGAGCCTTTCTCTATTAAATGAGTTAGAGTAGACTTCGCTAAATGCCTTTGAAATAAAGAGCGGATACTGAAATGCGAGAAAAGAAGCTGTCGTACCCTGACTTGGAGAAAGATGGAAAGGCATCGGGTATCTCATTACCGCTGAATAAGACGTCTAAAGCTAGATTTTAGAAAGCACAGATAAAGTACAATAACACACTGGTCCCTTCTTGTAATTAACCATAACTTATACTGTAATCTGACTCACAATGTAATCCTTTACAAACGTTCATGAAGGTATGCGCGACAGCTCTGAATGGTAGGTATTCTGAAGATATGCTACGATGATGAAACAAAGAGTTTTCTGTCTAACACATGGCTCAAGTGGAAACCAGCAAAATTTTAGCCCATTTACTACAAGAGTTGCGCTTTCATCATTAGAGCTGCTTTTGAAGAAAACTGTTAAAGGAAAATTTCTTTTGGGAGCACCACCATTAAATTTTCCATTTGGTCCAAAAAGTCCTGGAATGGTGGCGTTCTCCCTCCCCCTTCTCCCACTTCCCCTCCCCTCGCTTCTCGCCTCTTAGAGTGCTGGATGACTGGATCCTATGAAGAGATGACCTTTGGAAAAGTTTAAAAATTTCGACCAGCTCACAATGAAGACGTGCCACATATTGTAAAATGCTTGGGCAATGATTATAATATGTGGTAAGTAGCAAACATTTACAAAGCCCGTGAATAGAAAAGGGACAACCAAAAATTGTAGGTAAAAATTTCAAAATTGCCTAATAATTGACACTTTATGGACAAAAGCAGAAATTAGAATATAAACGATTCTTAAACGGTTCTACAGTGTTAATATAAAACCTGCACTTACCAATTCATACATATTTTTGGCAGGATTGAGCCATCCGACGTTGTTTGGCTCAATTCCCTTAGCTACTCTTCGACGAGCGTCATTATGAAAATTGAGAAACAGATCACGAATAGCGTCTGTCATCTCGTTATTTTTACAACCATATTCTAAAATGGACTTTGGAGACTTAAACAAAGCAGTAAAAATCTAAAGCTAGTACTCCACAGTGGTCAAACTTCTCATTACTGGCTAGCTTACTGGTTTGCTGATTGATTTGCTTTTGGCAGGCAGCATTGCGAATTGATAGTGCAGCAACAAAAACCTAAAGGATATTTTTTCAAAAATTGGTAGAAAGCCCATCTGTATTTATTAAGTTGAGAAAGAGGACGCTGCAAATCGAGAAAGTG